CCCCCCCCTCTGCCCCCGCTGTTGTTTTCAGGGTCCTCCGCTCCTCTGGGGGGCCTAGGCCCACACTAGAAGGTGTCAGGATGGAGAACAGGAGCAGGCTGAGGAAGCCTGTTCCCTGATCTGCTCTGTGATGAATGAAGCAGGGAGCATTGGGTAAACAGACAATCATGCACAGTCCGGTGTTGGAGGGCAGGGAAGACATCAGCGGTCTAATAGACCCCTGATGTCTCCATAATGAGAACCTGTCACCTCCAAATGCTGTCACATAGGGGCTTGTTATCCCCTTTGTTATGACAAAAGTTAAAGTAAAAAAAATTAAAGGAGGTGATAAGTAAAAAAGTTGTAAAAAATAACATAATTTTTTTTTTAAATGTAAACCATATGTGCATGTGTATGTAAATGGGAAGGGGAAGGAGTTCTAACTAAAAAATAAAATGCAATGCGCCGGAATCGGTGCATCAACATTGTGCCTGGGAAGACACACCAGCACCTATGAGTTGTAGTGTGAATGCAGCCAAAATGGTGGACCACGGTACATACAAGGACTGCATGGCTGTTCTGTCCGGACCGTGTTCGTTTTACTTCAGTACCCCTTGTATAAATGTTTGAGCTATCCATTTATAAGCATGTGTAAAAGTTATACAATCTTCTCCAGATGTAACGTCTCATCGGCAGCTCAGAAAATGGAAATTGGTATGTATAGCTTTGTATTAAGGATCCTCATTGTAGGAGTGACATATCCTGATCATACGCCATGGATGGATATTAAGCTGGTGATGGGATCTCTCAACGCTAGCCTATCAGTCAATGTTTATCTATTACTCGCAGCTGTATATATTTCATTCCATTACGTCCAATGGAGAGAGCTTTTTACACAGGGACTAGCAAAACTGTGACAGGTAGAGGAGGTGACTTGATTTGCATTTTTTGTGCTCTAATGCTAAAGGCTAACCCCATGTATATTTTTAGTAACCAGCTTCATGTAGACTACGGAAAAAACATATCATGTGATGTCATGATATGGGGCATGTGGCGTTTCTAAATCAGCCCAGGGTGCAGATTTTAGGTGTGTCATTCCAGGAATCTGGGTGGTTGGCTCAAAGGCGAGGGAGGTTGAGTGGGTGCATTATGTCACTCTGGAGCTGACATGAATCAGTTCTATCATCTGTCTGAAACAATATGTTTTTCTCTCAGAGATGAACATTTTCAGATGTCCTCTAACGTTAAAGTGAACAGAGGTGACCCCAGGCTGAGTGTCACCTGGTGCACGTGCGTAATGATGTCAGGCGCACTTAATTGCCAGGGGCCATCTTGGTGATGGATGCTAGCAGAGAGAGGAGGGGACAGTCATCAGGCAGGATAAGGCCCCCTCCTCTCTCATGGAGCTGTCGGGCTCTCAGTCTATAATCGAGTACATGAGGTTTTTTGGGGCAGAATTGTGCGCTTTTAGCCCGATAGACTGCAATAGGAGCACCTGAAAAATGAATTTTTCGTGCGATTTTTCATCTAACCACCGTCTTCTTATTCTAGTAACTAGCTTTCCATTGGCCAAAACAAAAACACTCATGCCTAAAAACACTTTAAAATCACCTGAAAACTTTCATGCTCAGGGGTGTCCCTACACTATTTGCCACTGGAGGTGGGGGGTTTAGTGGGTGGTGGTGCATGGTCCGGGGGGGGGGTGGTAGTAAAAGGGATCGCTGGCGGTGCACGTTACTGGGGGGAGGGAGGGGGGTGCTGGTGGTGCAAGAGGAGGGGTTTGCGTGGCTGATTCACGGTACTTCTGGCTCTGTCCGGTGTCCCACCCAGCTCACTGATGTCACTGGTTGCCAGAAGCTGGGAGGGATGCCGGACAAAGTTACACAGGTTGCTCAGAGCTCTTAGCAGCCTTGGATGCTCTGGCTGGACAAGTGACCCAATGAGATGTCACCTGAGGCAACTGCCTCATTATGGGGATGGCTCTGGTCACGCTCATGTGTGAATCGGGGGCTGAAGCGTATCTAAACCCAAGAACAGAAATTAAATATATTGAAGCTTACCAGTCTTTAGACGTGGAGACTGCAAGTGTATTAAATGTAATAAAGAAAAGGAAGGCAGTGAAAGGGAGCTGTTTGTGTCCAGGGATGATCATCCACAGGTCATTGCAGCATATCCGATTACATGCAAATGGAAGCTGTACAGATAAACACAGCAGAGTCCCACGGAGGGATTGGTGAGGCTGCCCCAAACACCCCTAAGTGTGAATTGGGTCTATAGGAGGATGTGACAAATACATAGGTGACATACCATAGTTCTATTTCCTGTAACGTGTGCTAATCCTTATAGCTTGTCAACGCTCTTCATTTTTCCCGAAAACAAATAATCTTTCAGAGTCGCCTGACAGGTCAACCCAGTACAGACATCGCCTTGTGTCAGTGAAGTCAGATCTGTGGCTGATAAAGCTTGGCCATAGTGCTGGAGGACAGAAAACACACATACTGATCTCATAGTTAACTCTTGCTCAATTCCAGTCATGGAAAGCTCCCTAAAGCTGGTCATACATTGCCAAACTTTGACCGAATCCTACTGACTCGGCCACAATACACTCAGCGTGTGGCCCCGTAGGCACCCCTGTGTTCCAAATCAAGTATGTCAATCAGGTACATCAAGGAAAATGTCTTTCCTGCATTCTTGTCCCAGGCCATTGAGTCTAATTATTGAAATAAGAGACCAGAAAATAGCCAGATGACCAGCATGTTCAGAAGGAGAGTGTTGCAATGACATGTTTCTCTCTTGCCAGGTCTCTTTTCAGGGACTATAAACCTCACCAAACCCAGCAGGTTTTTTACAGAGCAAACATCAAAAAGAACCTCCATTAATGTCAAATCATTTTGAGTGTATCCTAACCTCATATGTATAATAAATGGCATACAAAAATATTTTCTATAAGGTTAAACATGGCTACAGCTGAATGCGGAACATTCTGATGTGTGGTTCTACATTGTCTGTAATACAGGACGTGATGTATTCGGGCTTCGTAATGAAGAGATCGTATTCCCAGAGCAGATCCTGGCCAGAGAAAGGAGAGACACCGGACAGAATGATACGGTAATTAAAGTTCCCTACTGTCCATTTCAGACTCTTTACACAAATTAAAGCAGAAAGTATCAAAAGACACAGAGGGGGGATTTATCAAAACTGAAGCAGCTGTGCATAGTAACTAATCAGCTTCTCTCTTTCATTTTAAAATCTTAACTGACCAAACTGAAGAGAGAAGCTGATTCCCCTCATACATTTCCCTCACAATGTCTCTCTCTCTCTTTCTATCTTTCTATTTCTCTCTTTCTTTCTTTCTCTCTCTCTCTCTCTCTTTCTTTCTCTCTCTCTCTCTCTCTCTCTCTCTCTCTCTCTCTCTGAAACACCCCCAGCTTACTGATTAGACAGGGAAGGATCAGCAGCAAACTGATAAGGTCATCCCTCTTCCTACTGTGCTTTTTCCTTCTCATAGCCTGTTTTGCTGAGATGATGTGCTCTGCAGAATGTGATTGGCTTCTAGGAATTGGCTCACTCATAACATAAAACTTCACAAATTTGTGACTGTGCAGCGATAAAGCTGCACAATCTAACAATGGCCTGAAGTTCTTCCCCTGCTACCCAGCCCCTGTGATGCGATTGTCTTCCAGAGTGGTAAGTAAGTCAGCAGTGATAGCTATCATTTCATAAAGAATTACATTGGCACGGTCGCAAGTATCCGTATACAGACACAAAGTATTGCACAACACTGACTGAGTTGTGAGACAATGTAGCTGTGTACAAAGCAAAACCAATCAAAAGGAATGACTGCTGAGAGTTAAAATGTTGAACACATATTGCTCTTTAGGGATTGTGTAGAGACATACCTGTGGTGGCAACAAAACATTGCTCTGTATGGAATGGAAGGTCCGGCTTTGTCTTAGGTTCAAATCTGTACTGGACCTTTTGGCCCTAGAAACTAATTCTCACTCCGGGGACCTTTATCATTCTGAAGCTGTAATTAGAATTGCAAAATGCAACCAAAGCATTTCCTGTATGTAAAAATGTGTTTCATGCTGTTTCTGCCTGGACAACTCATCTTGTGACCTGTAAGGTTTATTCATACATGTATGTGCGATTCGGGCCGGACAGTGGATTCCTATGATTGGGATCATAGGTTTATGAGGTTTATGTAAAAAGTAGCAGCCTCTCTGCCTGTAAAAAGCAATGACGGGCTGACAGGAGCCGCGGCTGTCCACCATTGTTCACATACATCCGCATATCCAGTATCTGTTGCACTTTGGTCCTTTCCCGCAGGTAACCACTGGATGTGGGTATACAGCTCCTGTCCGTCTGTCATTGCTCTGTACGGGCTTTCTGTCCACAGTTTTTCGCATGTTTCCACACATCCAGCTGTTACCTGCAGGTAGGGATCAATGTGCAGCCATTGGCACAGACAGATGTTGGATGGTGCAGACATATATGAACAGCGGTGGATAGCCGTGACTCTTGTCATCCTGTCATTGCTTTGTACTGGCCGAGCAGCCGCAGCTGTTCGTATAAAACTGCTGCAGGAATTTGCAGATTCTTGCATTAGGAATCTGCTGTCTGGGCCAAATTACACATGTGAATGAGCACTGTTTCTGGGCCTAAGCAACATTGCAACTGCATGGTGTGCGGCGGCCATAGTTTCCTAGACATACAGTAGGTGTATATAGTATGTCTGCATTCAGGGTCGTACATCAGAACCTGTACAGACGTACACACTCGGAGCAGCATTTACCAACGTACAGCCATGTACACAACACCTGTGGGTCCAGGTGCCAAGATCTGGACCTCTGCTCCCATGTGAATGAGCCATTAGTGTCTTTGAAGGACAGCATCCGCAGCTAACATTCAATTGAGATTGGACAGCCATCACAGGTACGGCATCCCTGTGGCATCAGGTCACGTAAATGATTCATGTGGTATCTTCAGTTGTGATGGTAATGTCCCCAAGGTGGTGTTATGTTGGCTGGGAGCCTAGTGTGCAGATGCTAGTTGTTTTTTTGTACGATGACCCTCAAAGTCCTTGATCCCAATTCCGGTTATCTTGTTTTGTTTATTGTTTGTATTTATGGTTTATTGGATTTTTTTTGGTAAAGTATTTATTAAATGGCTTCTGTGGCCACCAAATCCAGCCTTGGTGTGGTGTCAGTTAATTTGAAGAGTGCAGATGGGGCTGGATTTTGGTTGGTTAGGTGACACCAGGACTTGTACAATACCTTTGTTTTTGTTTTTCCAGGGCCTTTGGGAGGATAGTTTGTCATATATCATCCCGACATCAAACGGCACTCTACTTCTAAACCTCCAGAGGAACAGGTACACAGAGACTTGTATGTTATCAACAGATCATTGACATCAAAGATACATGATCATGTAAAGAAATGTATGAACGTTCTATGTGGTTTGGTGATTCAATTTATATACTATCTCTACATTTTCAAGAATCACTATAATAATATGAATATGAGCAGAATTACTGATTGGGTGTCACTTGTAACTGCTCTGTAATGCGAGCGTGGCTCATTAATCATTTGTTGTACATTTTACTCTATAGATCCTACAAACTAATCTCAATATATGTCAGAATTCAATCTCTCCCACTCTTTCTCCACAGAGACTTTATTAGCAAAGACTTTGAACATTTTACCTACAGCAAAGATGATGGACTGCAGAAGCTCAATAGAAGAGTGTCAGTACGTGTTATGCCCACATTACATTATTTACTTTATTACCTTGCTACTAAGGTGTATCTATGCACAAGATCAAAAATGTAATATATTGCAGTTGTCCAGTCCTCAGATGCAGAGGCTGCATTAGTTTTCTTTTTTTAGGCTTTTTTCACCTTTATTTTCACCTGGCGATCCTGCCAGTGACTAATTTCCTGTCCTAGGGTGACAACGCTCAGTCTGTACTTTATTTATAGAGGAGCAGTGTTGTCACTGTGTGTTGTAAGAACAGATCGCCTCCTACTCTTCTCATCTCTGTAACAAATGGAAGGTGTTCTTTAGTTCATATATTTAATCTGTGCATAAAGTGTAACACTGCTTAAGATAACCCTACAGAGAAAAATGCATTCAGGTATCTTAACTATTAACAAAAATGTATGTGTCCGCCTGAAAAACTGACAGGCCCGTGAGAAAGGGGCCTCAGTGTCAGATGTTATCTTATGCTGAACATGCAATGTCTTTCTTGCCAGGAATACAATTGTTATTATTATGGACAAGTGGATGGAATAGACGACTCGGTTGTTGCTCTCAGCACTTGCTATGGCCTCAGGTTGGTATGGAGTGCTTTTAGAAAGAACACATTTATGAAATATGAAGAATCTAAAAAGTGATCCATTCCAGTCTACCACGTGTGTTGAAAGAAATATATCAGCAGTAGAATGGTTTATAATATACGTTAGGCTTATGATGCAAAAAGGGACGGAGACCAAACAACAACTTCCCAGGCATCCCCTTGATCACAGAATGCCAGACTAACTCCAGGAATTCAGTGGAGATACATAAAATGCATTGGTGATACTCTATCCATTAATTCCAATTGAAGCAGCTTCTGTGGACCATGTGTTGCTGAGTCTGTCTGTCTAACTATAATAGTGTTGATTCACTTAGAGCCTCTGTCCACGGTCTTTGGCCTTTTGTCATTGGAATCACTTTGACATCAGAGTTGAATTAATTGAGAATTCATTTACAGTTTTATTTGACCGCAGATAACGTCCTACTGAGCTGCAATTAACCTGTTTTGAGTGGGTTTTGCATTCCCATAGACTTATATGTGAATGCAAAACCTGCTTGAAGTGAACAAAACCCCCGTCAGCACAGGTCCTAAAGTAGTGGAGTATGTTCACTTTGCAATGTGATTTTTCACTTGGCTTAGTGAACGAGGTAAAGCTGCTGACTTTAATCATCCAATCATGTGTAAGTGAATGAGGTGAAGCTAAGTAATATTCATTTTAAAAGAATACCCAATCATGTTGCAAGAAAAAAATTATGCAAAATAGGCTTTTTGCTTGCACATGATTGGATGATTGAAGTCGGCACAAGTTCAACTCATTCACTAAGCTAAGTCAGTTTTCACTTAGCTTAACTTCATTCACTAATCTAAGTGAAAATTCACATTACAAAGTGGAAAAGCCAGACTCAACTAACCACATTATGTTACACTAGTTCTAGATCCACTTGGGTCACATTTTGAAGGGTTTTATGTAGCTGTTTTAATATCTAAGTCCTTTTTTCCAGGGGAATTATGTACATGAGTGAATTGCATTATGGGATTGAGCCAGTGAAAAATTCATCAAATGGAGAACATCGACTGTACCAGTTTGAGGAGCCTGATGAACCAGCCATGTGTGGTGTGGAGGATTTCAGCACAGAGTCCCCAGAATCCTTACTGTCTTCATATTTCAGACTCCGCAGGGTAAAATCATGCTTATTTCTTTAACATAATGTTCAAAATCATGTTATATATCCTATAATAAGTCACTGGCGGTAACTATCTCTCCTCCGATGGACATGGGAAAGGAAAGAGGACAGGCCAGACCAACTTCATATAATACCTTTGCATTTAGACATGTATTCCTTTTCATCATATTCATCACAATAAGCTTCACTTTTAAATCTGCTCAGTGGTTCCACACTTCACCCTCCTCAAAAGGAAGGGGGGTGGAGAAGGGAGCAAAAGGATTCAGATGTCTTTTGTTCAGATCGCCATAATATGCAATAAGGAGTGTGCTGATTTCCATATTTGTTTTGTATCTTGCCGTTATGATATGTCTAAGGCGCATATTTTGGCGATCTGAACAAAAGACATCTGAATCTTTTTGCTCCCTTCTCCACCCCCCTTTCCTTTGAGGAGGGTGAAGTGTGGAACCACTGGGGACATTTAAAAGTGAAGCTTATTGTGATGAATATGGTGAACAGGAATAATGTCTATATGGAAATGTATTATATGAAGTTGGTCTGGCCTGTCCTCTTTCCTTTCCCATGTCCACCGGTGGAGATAGTAACCACTAGTGACTTATTATAGGAGATATAACCATACGCATACCGGGATAAGCTCTGCTTTGCATTTTAATATGTTGGAATTTTATTTAATTTAAGTCGTTGGAGTAACCTTTAATCCTTGCTAAGGTTTGTATGAACTGATTTCCTTTTTCTCTAAATTTAATGAGGTGGTATGTCAATTAATGGAGGAACTACTCAGGTATAGTTGGACAATGGTGGTGGTGGCAAGGGGGGGATTGGTGCTGTCGACCTAGC